TATACCTTTGGCATGGATATAGACTATATTTCATTATATAATAATTGCCATCACACAATAGTTGCACCCCCTTTTTAGGGAAGGCAAAATTGGTATTTTCTCTGAGTAATAGTCTCACTCATCGCATGGACAAGTAAATTAAGTGTATGGCTCTTCTTTTGGTCCTGCAGGGCTTAACTCAGCTGGGAGTCAAGTCAAGCCCTGTAGCACCAAGGAAAGAAGGCAGACGGATGGGGGAGTAAGTTCGCTCACCTGCCCACCTGGCAGTTCAACCTACCTGTCCACCTGTCCCCTCTGCCCACCTGTCCCTCTGCAGCTATAGAAGCTCCTATAGCTCAACAGGAAGAGGCTAGAGCGCAGGTGAGTATGCCTATGTGTTTAAGAAATTACAGGATACTGTTATGTATATTTTCATAATACAAGAAACTCAAAGAATACATGGACACATAAGTTAGGTCTTTAAACCAGCTACATCATACTGGCTTCTAAAAATATTCAGATGTGAACTGATTTATGTGTAGGAGGCAACGACAGACGGTTTTCATAAATATGATATGGAGACCTATCCCCTAATCAGATTTGTTTAAAGAGATGAAAAAATTAACTCCACAGAGAATACTCATTTATGGTAGTAAATTGATGTTTATGGTAAGAGAGAATTGCATTACAACTGAATCAGATTTCCATTCTCCTGTATAAACACAATATAGACCATAATCATTTCCTTTCTTAAAACTATGCCATGAAGACACATATATCTTAACTAGTATACATGTTCCTTACCTTCAGTGTTCCAAAGAAAGGTTTGAAAACCTTTCCGTTTGATACGGAGGCTGGATCTGCACTGCCATATACAATCCGGGTTGTCTGATTTGAACTGGGTTATATGGCAGTGTGGACTCATATAATCCAGTTCAAAGCGCATAGTGTGGATTATTGAGTCCCCCTAGGGGTGAGAAAAGCAGTACAGAAATACTGTAAATAAATAAAAATAAATAAATTATCTGCTTTGATAATCTGGATTATATGGCAGTGTAGAACCAGCCTAAGATGATGACAGAGGTTACAATGAAAGTTGTTATTATTTGTTACCACTAACTTAAAGAAACTTCTACCATCTAGTTTAAGGAACATTTGTGTGCAAAATCCTATTCATGAAACACATAGCTATAATGACATTGCTCATGATCAATGTCCTGATCTAACCCGCTAAAAACCAACAACCGACAGAGTTTTGCAGTGCTGGCAAGTAGGATGATGATGTACCTGGCCCATTACAATCAGTGATCTTTGGTATGACAAGCAGTGGCAGGGACACCTACAGGGTCTGTTGGTATACCTGATTGTTATGCCAAGGTTTGCTAGTGGAAGGAAATTGAATGTATCGTAGTTCAGCATCCTGTGCACTAGAACCACAGAACTCCTTTCTTTGTTACAGTTGCCTGGATTGTATAGGAAGTCCCAGAGTTATGAACAAGATACCGGTTGATTCTGTAGGCTTGTTCTTATGTTGAATTTGTATGAAGTCAGAACAGGTTATTTTTTAAAAAGTGTAACTCCAGTCAAAAATGTATTTTTTTTTTAAGTTTTGGATAACATAGGACAGGGTTAACATCCCTGTAATGTTAGTTTTGCCCTCTGTGTCCCTGTTCAGAGGATTTCACCTCAATTTCCGTCCCTGTGACAATTGAATTATGAACATTTTGCATTTCCTTGGAAACAACAATTGGCGATAAAGCTTCAGAGGAGACATCTTTTCCCCATGATAACTCTTCCAATAATGAATTTCCCTTCCCAGGGGTGGATTTTCTCTCATTTCATGTTCTCAGAAACAGGAAGTGAGGTTAAAGCACCAGCACTGCGGCGCAGCTGGCTGGGAGTCAGCTGCATTAAGATCACTACTGACCAAAAGGTCATGAGTTCAAAGCCAGTCTGGGTTGGAGTGAGCGTCTGACCAAATTTGTGTAGCTTGCTGTCGACATTTGCAGCCCAAAAGACAGTTGCATCTGTCAAGTAGGAAATTTAGGTACCGCTTATGCAGGGAGGCTAATTTACGATGCCATAAACATCTCCAGCAAGCATGCAAAGAATGAGGAAGTACTTCATCAGTGTCACAAATGGACGGTGAAGCGACAGCTCCCCTGGTGGCAGAATGCCCTCATGAAAAAGCTGGAATGTTAAATAGCCTCTGTGTGTCTGTCTATATATGTTGTGTGTCTATGGTATTGAATGTTTGCGAGGTGAGAAGGGCGGAATATAAATATTGCAAATAAATAAATAAATAAATAAATCCAATGAGGATATAGACAGCAGTTCCCTGCCCCACCTGGTATAGAAGCTTAAGGGCTGCCATTCCAATTTTAATATCTAACAGTTACCAGCAGTGCTATTAGCCGGGATGGGGGTGAGGAGAGATAAAAACAAATTACTTGCTGTTGTTCTCAGTACACAAGGCTGCTAAGCAATGGTGTACTTGAGGTGGTTTAAGTGAAATAAAATACATGGTGTTGTCAACCTTTCATACCAAGTTTTGATCAAACTGATTGATGGGCCTGTCAGATCTCAAGTCAGCAAACACAATGTTTTGTATTTCATATGCACATATTCAATGTGCCATTTTATTTTATTACCTAAAATGGCCAGCTCTTACATGATATCTAAGGGTTATTTTGTGAGAATATCTGCAAGAGAGAAAAGTGCCAGATTTAATTTGCCAAGCAAGTTTCAGCTTTGTTGGTGATGACAATGTAAAGAAGACACAGGTGCAAAGGGTGCTCGTGCTATTTTATCTAAATTATTACTAAGTGGTTGTTCGCCATAACTAGGGCGTGATTGGAGCCCTTGATGTCTTTCGGCAAAGTTTACACTTTCACTGTCTTTTGATGGAGACCTTTGCAATCAGGAACATTCAGCTAGTACTGTTAATGCTATGATTGTTGGCGGATTCTTGCTGCTTATTAGCACTCCACTACTGACATAGGAGGGAAACAACAAGGCTCTTGATCCTATGAAGAGGCATTTCAGGAAGTTTAGACAACTTCTATACTGCCATATAATCCAGATTATCAAAGAAGATAATCCACATTATCTGCTTTGAACTGGATTGTGTGAATCTACGCTGCCATATAATACAATTCAAAGCAGATAATCTGGATTTTATATGGCAGTGTAGAAGGGGACTTGGGATGGCTAGTTGTAGAAATGACAAAACTTTCCTTCATTTATTTATTTAAAACATTTACATTCTGCCCTTCTCACCCCGAAAGGGACTCAGGGCGGAGCACAACATACAAATGACAAACATTCAATGCTGGGACATGAATAAATTATATGCATACATAAACATTAAAAACATTTGTCTCAACATTAAAATACACAGTTTAATTAATTTATTTGCACACAAGCGCTCGAATAAATGTCTACGGGCTTCGATAGGTTTGAATATGGATTATGAACAAGGATGCCGGATGAATGGAACTATGCACTTTATATGTTTTAATCTGTTTACTGTTTTAATGTGTTTAATGTGACTAACTATTTACTGTTTTAATGGAGGGGGTATGTTATTGTTTTTACTGTTGATTTTACCAGTATGCTGGGAATTGCAGTCCAAGAATAGGTAGAGAAGGAAGAACAGGGAGAAAGAGGAAGGGAAAGAAAAAGTGGGGAGAGGGAAGGAAGGAAAGAAGAAGAAAAGGAAGGAAGGAAGGAAGGAAGGAAGGAAGGAAGGAAGGAAGGAAGGAAGGAAAGAAAGAAAGAAAGAAAGAAGGGAAGGAAGGGAAGAGAGAAGGAAGGAAGGAGAGAAAGAAAGGAGGAGAGAAAGAGGGAGAAAAGGTTGGCCACAGCAATGCGTGGAGGGTACAGCTAGTAAACAAATAATTTAGTTTAACTTATTTGGAGATCGATTCAAAGCTATCTTTCCCATTTAACGAAAGAAACAACAGAATATTGAGAGCAAATATTATATGATGTGACACATTCGGCCACATCACATTGTGCCAAGTTATGAATCTGGAATACTGTCAATCCGATTGAAGAATAATGAGAGGGAGAGGTCTGGGCCCATATTCTATCCTTCCACAGAACTGAATGGAACTCAAGCATGATTACTTTTGGCTGGATGTTAACATTAATTCCGTTGAATAACAACTGATGGCAGGCAAACGCCTGCTCCGTTCAAGTCCTATTCTTGGTTTACTAAGAAGCATCTGTACATGATGGTACAGATTAATCCATTGGTCTAATCCGGGGTCCTCAAACTAAGGCCCGGGGGCCGAATGCGGCCCTTCAAGGTCATTTACCTGGCCCTCACTCAGGGTCAACCTAAGTCTGTAATTACTTGAAAGTACACAACAACAACAATCCTATCTCATCAGCCAAAAACAGGCCCACACTTCCCATTGAAATACTAATAAATTTATATTTGTTAAAATTGTTCTTCATTTTAATTATTGTATTGTTTTTAAGTGGTTTTTGCACTACAAATAAGATATGTGCAGTGTGCACAGGAATTCATTCATGTTTTTTTCAAATTATAATCCGGCCCTTCAACAGTTTGAGGGACTGTGACCTGGCCCTTTGTTTAAAAAGTTTGTGGACCCGGTCTAATCCATCAGGAGAAAGTTGGAATAAGTGACGTTTCAGGGAAAGGAACACTGGTAGAATTGCAAAAAAGGTAGGTGATGAGTAAATGGAAGCAAGAAAGCAAAGGGTAGCAACCAACAACAACAATAACAACAACCATCAGACATGCCTTCGCCCATATTGCATGGCTTTATTTATTTTATATTCTACAAAGGCCTTACATTAGAAGCAGGTCCTAACTTTCCAAATTTAGCAAATTTCACTATTTAACTTTAAAGTTACTGCATTACTTCTGCCTGCAATCAGACAATTTGGGGTACCTCTCAAGTAAATAAGTGATATATTACGGACAAAAGGGTTTATTCTCTAAACTAAGACAGTCCAGAAAATGGGATCTGTTAAAACTGGCACCATACCTGTTGAAGTTAATATCTGGATAGCTTGAATATTCTGATTTCATCTTGGCATTTCGCCGGGGAAAAGTGCAGAAGAAGGCATTGGCTAGCAAACTAGCAGTCTGTTCTTGTGACATTGTGATGGAGTGGTTCATTTTTTGTTTCAGTAGAGGTATTGGCTAACAAAAGGGCAGAAAATGGACATAATCAGGTTAGCAATTTTAAAAACTAACATACCGCCCATCAACAAGAACATAGGAGAACAAAATTACATTTACTAATTTAGAGCAGAAGTAATTTAGGTTCCTAAATCAGCAGCATCATTACACTCAAGAGCTATTTATTCAGGATGATTGGGAAGGGCCTTGTTTGACAAATTGAAGATTTTTAATCAATAACAACAAGAATGGCAAACAAAGCATCACTAGTCTGAACAAAATGAAGAGTCCATAGGAGGAACAGATGGAATATGAGCAATAGTGCAAGAAAAATAAAATAAAGAGATTGTAACAGCTGTATTTTGCTGTCTCGGTGTCACACAGTTTAAAGAAAATGGGCAATCACAGCAATCACATCTGAACAGCTGCAAAACAAGACAGCATAATGATACACAAAACTACGCAACTGTGAAAGAGGAACTGAAGTATACCTTCCTCCAGAAATGAAAGCAAAAAATTTCAGGGTTCAAAAAACCCCAACAAGATTCCCATTTCAGCACCATTATTACTGATTTTATTACCTAATTTATAAGATCAAGAACTAGCCAATAGCCCTTGTTAGAAATGAAACCCTGAAAATGCCCAACATAAAATATTGAATAGTATTGCCTCCTGAAGCTACATGAAATAGACTATTAACATTCAAATACAAGGGTTAAGTTTTAAAAATTAGAATTTTACAACTGCTGGAAAAATCCTTGAAGATTTTGTATTGCACAATCTCTTTCTTCTATTCTTACCATATCTATATAAATAAAAATGCAATGTCCGTTTGTGGGATTAACATAACTCAAAAACCACTGGACAAACTGCCACCAAACTTGGCCACAAGACACCTACTAACCCAAGGAGTGACCATCACGCAAAAGAAAATGATTTTGTCATTTGGGGTTTGTAGTTGCTGGGATTTATAGTTCACCTACAATCAAAGAACATTCTGAACTGTCCCAACAATGATAACAATATCAATAAGAATCATAGAATCAAGATATTTCTTTTTTTTTTTTTTGAAAGAAATGAACTCGTGGGCATCCATTCCAACCCCCCTTGCCCAGAAGCAGGAATATTAATTTTTATTTTTTTTATTTATTAAATTTGTCCTTTGTTTTTTTTTTTTTAACCGCCACACTCCCAGCCGCAGTCGACTCGTGGCGGTTGTACAGAAACATAGAAACATAAAGTTGAAAGTTGAACAGTGAATCAAGATCATAACACACATCTTACTAACACACAACTAATTAAACTAAAAATCCGCTTCGACTTGTTTGGGTCATAATCAATCACGTCGTCATAATCCATTCCGGTGGTCGTTCCAAAACCTAGCACTTAACTGAAGGCCTTTTCGAAGAGCCAGGTTTTCTAAGCAGGAATATTGCATTCAAATCACCCCTGACAGATGGCCATCCAGCCTCTGTTTAACAGCTTCCAAAGAAGGAGCCTCCACCATACTCCGGGGCAGAAGTTCCACTGCTGAATGCCCTCCTCACAAGGGCTGACTTATCATTTTGGTGTCTTGTTAAGTTGCAGAAATCAATACAAATATGTATTAAAATGACAAATAATATAGACGTAGTGTAGATGGTTTTTTTTTTTTTTTTTTGGTTTTGGGGCCTTGAGTTTTGTTTGGAAGTGTGTTAATTTCACCTTACATCCAGAAGAGGCCAACTGTGGACCCTCCCGAACACCAAAGGATAGGAATCCTCGTCAAACTTTTGGAAACGAATATTTTCCATCCATGCCTAATATGAAACAAAGTATAGAGTTTTTGGGGAAAATAGACCCCCTTTGAAACAACAATTATGATTTTGTAGTTCCTGGGATTTATAATTTCCTACAATCAAAGAGCATTCTGAACCCCACCAACGACAGAATTGGGGCAAACTTCCCACACAGAACTCTATGACCAACAGAAAATACCTGAGGTCATCCAGTCCAACTTCCTTCACCAGGGCAAGAAAACGTAATCAAAGCCCTCCTGACAAAGAGCCATTCAGCCATATATAGATATGATTCACACAAAGAGAGATATAGTATCATAGATTTGAAAGGGACCCTAAAAAAAGGACAATAATATGCTGCATGTTCCAGAGTAGGCAAACCAGACAATCTCCACATCAACACTGACAAAGAAACAGCAAGAAATACTGTTTATCCACAAGCATCATGACATTACATATATTAGAAATCAACACTTTGTTATTACTTCATTTTCCAGATCACCAGACTGGGCCACAGCAACGCGTGGCTGGGGACAGCTAGTGTCTTCATATATATGTTGACTTCATGTATAAGCTGAGCGCAGTTTGCAAGGAGGAGGAACCACCTTACATTCATTCAATGGGACTGGAAGTAACACTTCCTATCCTATCTCCAGTTCCTAAAAGACTGAGGAACAACTAATATTTCATGATGGGAAAGGGTCAACCACCAACACCAGAAGCAGTGGCATGGTGGAGAGCTAATCCACTGATCCATATATCTGTCGACCTAGGTTTTTTTGTTCAATTTTTGTGCAGTGTCTTTTAGACATTTACATCAGTATATACAGTTGTTAAAATAATTTTTTTAACTTATGAGAAACATGTTATTTCCATTACATTGTGAATAAAAAGCTAAAATACAAAGAATGGCATCTGGAATTATTTCAAAAGATGCATACAGATGAATCTTTTTCACTGAAATGCTTTATATCTCTGAGTTTTTCCAAAACAACTATTTAAGAATCTGACAAAGAATCTAAGAAGCAGCTGATCTATGAGCAAGATGTTTGGAAGATAAATATATATCTCTGGGAGTTCACAAACTATCATTTTATAGAGATCAAAAATACTGCACAAGAACAAACCTGAACTTTTTAAAAATTTCAGTAATTTTTTAATGCAAATTATAACAATCCAACTGATTAGACCAAATGGTGTGTTTAAGTATTTTAAAATCCTCTAAACAAAAAAAAAAAACCCCAAACACACAGGAAATAACATGAACTATGACACTAAAGTTCTTTTCACACATTTATAAAAAAAAAATTAGAGATATTCACCGAATAAGCAGAAATGAGATCATACTAAAAAGCTCTGTCCTTATGTCAGCCCAGAGCGCCATCTCTACAGGTATCCAAACACCTGGCATGAAAACACCTTCATGTTTCTTGCTATATTTACTGACATTTCTATGTTATTCAGAACGAAGCATGACTGGGATTCTGAAACACATGTAAATATCCCAGTGACTCTGCAAATATAGCAATTCACACAAAGTCCTTCCCACTAAAGGCATTTGCTCTATCAAGCAGAGGTATCTGCCAGGGTGAAGATAAGTACTGATGTCTATCAGGGCCAATCTATCTGGCAAGGCACAATTCACTTGGTGACGCATGGTAAGTCACCATATTCCAAAGAATCACTGCTGGAAAGTACTTTCTCTTAATGCAGACCAGACTATCTAAATTCTACATGTTATATCTTGTTGAGATATCACATTTGAGATCAATTACGTGGTTATGCAACATATTTTTGCCACTAAAAAGAGCTTAACAATTATGATGGGGCCACTGGTAGTCATCTAAAATATTATTTAATGAGAAGATTTTAAAACATATTAACCATGAGGCTGAAGTGTGTATTTTCAAAAAGATTGAGATCTTATCTCTTATGACCACTGATCCTGTTACCACCTTGATTCAGGAAAATGAAGACCTGTCTCTTGTGTTAAGACACAGTCTGTTAAATGCTAATAAGCAATGAGTTTGAGTTCCTCCTGTTGTCATCTCTCATATATATATATATATATATATATACATACACACACACACACACACACACAACAACAACAACAACAACAACAACAACAACAACAACAACAACAACAAAAATACTTCCACGTTTCTTAAAATCCATTTAAATACAATTGTCTACTCAATTTAATTTTGAGAGAGAACTCGATGAAAATAAAACCAGTTTTGGTCTTGCCTGTGACCTTGAAAGGAATGATAAGGTAAAGGTAAAGGTTTCCCCTGACATTAAGTCTAGTCATGTCTGACTCTGGGGGTGGTGCTCATTTCCATTTCTAAGCCGAAGAGCTTAGTTGTATGTACACACCACCAAGGTCATGTGGCCAGCATGACTGCATGGAACACCATTACCTTCCCGCAGAAGCAGTACCTATTGGTCTACTCACGTTTGCATGTTTTCAAACTGCTAGGTTGGCAGAAGCTGGGCCTAACAGCAGGAGCTCACCCCACTCTCTGGATTCGAACTGCCAACATTTCAGTCAGCAAATTCAGCAGCTTAGCGGTTTAACCCACTGCGCCACCAGAGGGCCCGAGATTAATGATATAGATTGCTATATCATCATCAAAGAAAATAATAATAATAATAACAATAACAACAGACCTGCCTGTGACTAATGATAAACTGCTATTATTATTATTATTATTATTATTATTATTATTATTATTATTATTATTAACAATATAATAGACCTGTGTGTGACCTTAATAAGACTGCTTGCTATACTAGAAAAAAAATGGTGGGTAGTTAACACAATCTTGAATTTTATTAATAAACTAATATAAAAAATCAGGAATTTTATAGAACTCAGGAAAGCCATAACCTCCAAGAGAAAAGTAAATGACTAGATGTAAACCACCAATGATTTAAATCTACAGTAAACCTTCTTTTCATTAATTAGAAAGAATTGAACAAAGTAAATCATCGCACATTGTAAACTTCCTAGCTGATTTATAGCACATCTCGCCAGTGAATGCAAGATTTTGATATATGTTTCAAAGCAAGCTTCAGAAAGGGAGAGGAGTTTTTAATCTCCTTTTATATTGTTATGGATGTGTCTTGTCCTCAGTATTCCCTAGGCTTGAGTTCAGCAAGGCTAGAACCACATAACAGCTTTGGCATTTTGACCTCAAGGATTCATTGTGGCATACAGCAAATTAATCTGCTACAGAGAAAACACTGAAGATGTGACTACCAACCTGAGTGCAGATGCTAGGCAGGCAGAGTGCAAGCTTCACCATATCAGGCAAAATGGACTGAAACAGATGCTGAGCTTCTGCATCCTCAAGCACCTAGAAAAGAAATGGAAAAGAACATTTGATGTTAACAATATGGCTGCCAAATAAGGTGGATTTCCCAGGAAAGAACTATTTATTTAGACAAATGTATCTAAAAATACTAAAAAAAAATAAATCAGAAGTAAACACAGAACTCTGTAATCCTGATATTTCAACCTTTCATGCCAGACTAGAATTCAGGTACATGTTTTATAATTACTGTCAAATACGAAATGCCATCATATTTTACATTTTTTTCTGCAGCTAGAATCTAATAAGTGTATGGGATGAACCTGAAAAAAAATGGCTCTGGGACAAAGCATTCCCAGAATAATTGGTTGAGTCCAGCAATAACCTAATAACTACTGACCACATTTGCGGATTGAGGTGAACTTGATTCTATCTTGGTGATTTGGCTTATATGTATTTATTCTGTTTGTATTTTAACTTATTATGATTTTATGATGTTTTTAGTTGTATTTGTGCATTGAATTTCTGCTGTTAGCCGGTCTGAGTCCCTTTACGTAGGTAGAGAAGATCGGGATAGAAAAGTTTTAAATAAACAAACAAATAAATAAATAAGGCAAGACGATCCATTCCTTGGCATTAACATGAGTATTCTTCAAGGATTAGACCTGCATGTCGGGTAGAAGAGTTCTTGCAATATTTCAATATCTCTTCCATCTGGCTATCTGTGACCTACATATTTCTACAACCAGCTACCATTGGAAACAGATTTTCTGTTGCATGAATTATTTTAAAGCAAGACTGCTTATGCAGAAAAATAATATTTTAAAAGGCAGACTTCTTTCCTTTTCTGTGGATATAACTAATCAAATGTAATTATACCTTATTCACCTTTTCAAACCCAAACAATTCTGTATGTGTGCATGGTGAATGGCACAAAGTCAGCTGCAGACAAGTGGTAAAATATCATTTAACAGGTTACGATTTCATGCTTTAGGACAGCCTTCCCTATTAGTCTTAAAGCACACCGATGCCTAGCGATCAACACATCTGGAAAATGCCAGGTTTAGGAAGATGAAAATGTCACAGAGAGAACCTTCGAGGGGGCTAATAACAAAATGTGTTAAGGGAAGTGTCAACAGTAACAACCTACATGCTATTTTCTGAAAATCTGCCAGTCTGTTTGAAAACAAACCAATGAAGGAATACATTAAATAATGCAATTCAACATACTGAACAAATTTCAGTTGTTCATTTAGCAAAAATGATCTAATCTTCTCAGTTCTGACAGTCAACCTTAATAAAAGTTTCTGGTGTGGCCTGGCCTTTCAGTAGAAAGGTTAACACAATTGTGGGATTGTTCTCACTCACATAAACATCCCCAAGTAGTAATATACAAAATGTTAAATGCTGAATTTCAAGAATCAACATGGAGCAAAATATATACATTTAATTCAAAGGACGACATTTAACCTTAAGTGTCTAGAAGACTGTCAGCTTTTGATAGTTCTTCTCCTTAGGGTAACACCTCCTGTCTTTTAGAATGACACTTGAATAATGTCTGGCATGCATTGTTGACTGCCACAAACCCTATAGTCTCACTCATCTAGTGACAGATTATGACACTGGACTTTGTCATAGCTGTCAGCACTTCAACCTTTGCCTTTAGCAGCTCTGGAAGTAAATGTAGTCAAAGCACGGGAGGCTTCCTTCTTGAAACTGAACTGCAACCCACAGTCTCAGTGATCAGGTTTTAGAAAGAGTAAAAAATGGACCTGAACTATTTTATGCAGTGTGCACCTATTAAAATGTTTGCTTCCTCCTCTTTTGTCAGGTGAGTGTCCCATTTCATTTATTTGTGATAAAAAGATTATGAACTACCTACATATTGCCTATGGAAATAAATGCCAATTGTTAGATAAACACAAAATGCATGGAGAATATGCACACATTTACTTTTCAGGGATCTATCTCCAACAGTCATTATCACATTATCAGTTTAGATATATTAGATTTATCTTGTTTCCTGTGACATCAGAGCCCTTCCCCCAGCACCAATGGCCACTCTGGGGCCAGAGTTCAGAAGGGAGCCAGGATGACAGTTCCATCTTGTCTCCTATGACATCAGAGCCCTTCCCCCAGCACCAACGGCCACTCTGGGGCCAGAGTAAAGAAGGGAGCCAGGAAGACAGTTCCATCTTGCTCCTGTGACATAAGAGCCCCTTTCCCAGCACCAACGGCCACTCTGGGGCCAGAATTCAGAAGGGAGCCTGGAAGACAATTCCATCTTGTCTCCTGTGACATCAGAGCCCTTTCCCCAGTACCAACAGCTGCTCTGGGGCCAGAGTTCAGAAGGGAGCCAGGAAGACAGTTCCATCTTGCTCCTGTGACATAAGAGCCCCTTTCCCAGCACCAACGGCCACTCTGGGGCCAGAATTCAGAAGGGAGCCAGGAAGACAATTCCATCTTGTCTCCTGTGACATCAGAGCCCTTCCCCCAGCAACAACGGCCACTCTGGGGCCAGAGTTCAGAAGGGAGCCAGGAAGACAGTTCCATCTTGCTCCTGTGACATAAGAGCCCCTTTCCCAGCACCAACGGCCACTCTGGGGCCAGAATTCAGAAGGGAGCCTGGAAGACAATTCCATCTTGTCTCTTGTGACATCAGAGCCCTTTCCCCAGTACCAACAGCTGCTCTGGGGCCAGAGTTCAGAAGGGAGCCAGGAAGACAGTTCCATCTTGTCTCCTGTGACATCAGAGCCCTTCCCCCAGCACCAACGGCCACTCTGGGGCTAGAGTTCAGAAGGGAGCCAGGAAGACAGTTCCATCTTGTCTCCTGTGACATCAGAGCCCTTCCCCCAGTACCAACAGCTGCTCTGGGGCTAGAGTTCAGAAGGGAGCCAGGAAGACAGTTCCATCTTGCTCCTGTGACATAAGAGCCCCTTTCCCAGCACCAACGGCCACTCTGGGGCCAGAATTCAGAAGGGAGCCTGGAAGACATTTCCATCTTGTCTCCTGTGACATCAGAGCCCTTTCCCCAGTACCATCAGCTGCTCTGGGGCCAGAGTTCAGAAGGGAGCCAGGAAGACAGTTCCATCTTGTCTCCTGTGACATCAGAGCCCTTCCCCCAGCACCAACGGCCACTCTGGGGCCAGAGTTCAGAAGGGAGCCAGGAAGACAGTTCCATCTTGTCTCCTGTGACATCAGAGCCCTTTCCCCAGTACCAACAGCTGCTCTGGGGCCAGAGTTCAGAAGGGAGCCAGGAAGACAGTTCCATCTTGTCTCCTGTGACATCAGAGCCCTTCCCCCAGTACCAACAGCTGCTCTGGGGCTAGAGTTCAGAAGGGAGCCAGAAAGACAGTTCCATCTTGCTCCTGTGACATAAGAGCCCCTTTCCCAGCACCAACGGCCACTCTGGGGCCAGAATTCAGAAGGGAGCCAGGAAGACAATTCCATCTTGTCTCCTGTGACATCAGAGCCCTTTCCCCAGTACCAACAGCTGCTCTGGGGCCAGAGTTCAGAAGGGAGCCAGGAAGACAGTTCCATCTTGCTCCTGTGACATAAGAGCCCCTTTCCCAGCACCAACGGCCACTCTGGGGCCAGAATTCAGAAGGGAGCCTGGAAGACAATTCCATCTTGTCTCCTGTGACATCAGAGCCCTTTCCCCAGTACCAACAGCTGCTCTGGGGCCAGAGTTCAGAAGGGAGCCAGGAAGACAGTTCCATCTTGCTCCTGTGACATAAGAGCCCCTTTCCCAGCACCAACGGCCACTCTGGGGCCAGAATTCAGAAGGGAGCCTGGAAGACAATTCCATCTTGTCTCCTGTGACATCAGAGCCCTTCCCCAGCACCAGCTGCTCTGGGGCCAGAGTTCAGAAGGGAGCAAGAAGACAGTTCCATCTTGTCTCCTGTGACATCAGAGCTCTTTCCCCAGCACCAACGGCCACTCTGGCGCCAGAGTAAAAAAGGGAGCCGGGAAGACAGTTCCATCTTGTCTACTGTGACACCAGAGTCCTTTCCCCAGCACCAACGGCTGCTCTGGGGCCAGAGTTCAGAAGGGAGCCAGGAAGACAGTTCCATCTTGCTCCTGTGACATAAGAGCCCCTTTCCCAGCACCAACGGCCACTCTGGGGCCAGAATTCAGAAGGGAGCCTGGAAGACATTTCCATCTTGTCTCCTGTGACATCAGAGCCCTTTCCCCAGTACCATCAGCTGCTCTGGGGCCAGAGTTCAGAAGGGAGCCAGGAAGACAGTTCCATCTTGTCTCCTGTGACATCAGAGCCCTTCCCCCAGCACCAACGGCCACTCTGGGGCCAGAATTCAGAAGGGAGCCTGGAAGACAATTCCATCTTGTCTCTTGTGACATCAGAGCCCTTCCCCCAGTACCAACAGCTGCTCTGGGGCCAGAGTTCAGAAGGGAGCCAGGAAGACAGTTCCATCTTGTCTCCTGTGACATCAGAGCTCTTTCCCCAGCACCAACGGCCACTCTGGGGCCAGAGTTCAGAAGGGAGCCAGGAAGACAATTCCACCTTGTCTCCTGTGACATCAGAGCCCTTTCCCCAGTACCAACAGCTGCTCTGGGGCCAGAGTTCAGAAGGGAGCCAGGAAGACAGTTCCATCTTGCTCCTGTGACATAAGAGCCCCTTTCCCAGCACCAACGGCCACTCTGGGGCCAGAATTCAGAAGGGAGCCAGGAAGACAATTCCATCTTGTCTCCTGTGACATCAGAGCCCTTTCCCCAGTACCAACAGCTGCTCTGGGGCCAGAGTTCAGATGGGAGCCAGGAAGACAGTTCCATCTTGTCTCCTGTGACATCAGAGCCCTTTCCCCAGTACCAACAGCTGCTCTGGGGCCAGAGTTCAGAAGGGAGCCAGGAAGACAGTTCCATCTTGTCTCCTGTGACATCAGAGCCCTTCCCCCAGCACCAACGGCCACTCTGGGGCTAGAGTTCAGAAGGGAGCCAGGAAGACAGTTCCATCTTGTCTCCTGTGACATCAGAGCCCTTCCCCCAGTACCAACAGCTGCTCTGGGGCTAGAGTTCAGAAGGGAGCC